TGTAAAGTGTGAAATTAAAAATCCAATGAACTAAATTAATTAATTGCAACCTGAAAAATCACAAAAGCAGTTATACAGTATGTGACTAGTGGTTTTGCTCATTGATTTACAAAAAAATAAAAGCAGTTATATGAGACTGGTACCATTTATTCAGAGATTTAAAAAAATAGCAAAGCCCTCCATCATTAGTATAACTCATAGAAAAGTACAGAATTGGTAGGAAAATGGGTCTGAATATAAAGAACAAAGCGTACTCAAATTGTGTGATTAGCAACATTTTCCTTTGCTTGCTTCTTCTTGGAAGCCAGATTTAGATAGGATAAGAGGGAGTCAGCTGACTGTAGCCTATAGCAAAGTAGAAAGAATCACCAAGATAAAGTTAGAGAAAAATGAGTTGGTTTGAATAGAGATGGTATAGCTAAAAATAAAACCATCTGTTCTTTATGAGGGCAATTTGATTAATTTGTTACATTTCAACACCCAGGATGGATTTCCGTGTAATGTAAAGAGGGTTTATGAACGAAGTACATCCATCATGTGTAGTCTGTAGAGAGACTACATTACTTTTCTGATGATGGCCCCATATTCCCTGGAGACCTAAATGTAATCTGTTGTTGCCCTTTTGCTCTGACATTTGATGTTTTACTTTGAGGGAAATGTGAGCAAATAAAAGGCTAGATATTGATTTCTGCACTGAAGTTAATAATTTCCACACATGTTATGCTTGGAATGGTGGTTACTATTATACAGAATTTGATATTACAATATTTCTTGATGAACAGAGAATATATAAGTCTGTATGACAAACTTTTTGCGTATCTCAGTTCAAATCTAAGTCGGGTCAGCAGCAAAATGAGTACAGTTGTTTTATTGTGGACTTAACAGACTTTTGTTTACGTCCCAGAATATCATGTACAGAGTACTGGACACATCTGCAAAACTTCCAAACTTTGTAATAGTCTGTATACTTAGTTTAAATATGATGAGAAAGTGACTATCAACTTATCCATTGGAACTAACAATTTGGTTTGTTGCATCAATATCTTCAGTCTTTTTAGAAACAAATAATTAAGAAGTAATTTTGTAACTTTTCATTATATTCACATATAATAATATAGTACCTGATATAAATTCTATACTGTATTTACCTGAAAGAAAGACGTGTTTTAGCCAGTTGTTTTTAATTCTATAACTTGTTTAGTTATTGAATTTATCCAATAAGGAGGTAGGGTTTTTTCCCCCTCAGATGGCCTATGAACTGAAGGTTATTTTACATTCACTGTACATATACCCACAAATGCACACATCTGAAATAAAATTTTCAAAATTGGTTTATGTCGACTTGACAAAGGGAAGCTAGGTATTTTATGGAAATTTTCCGTGTGCTTATAATCTCTCTCCCCCTTCTTTTTTATGCTAGTTTTCTATGAAGGATAAACAAACAGTATCAGATCCCTCCTCTGTTTCTTTTATAGTGGATGTGACTTGATTTATGACCAATGCTTTTACTGTATTTAAGTAAACTGTTGCTCCTGCTTGGAAAGTAAAACTTGGTCCCAGCCTGAGAGCACATAAAAACTCCTCCCTCCTTACGGTTAAGCTGCTATATATTTTAAATTTTGTATTATTGTAATTGTTTTCACTTTTTATTTGCCATCTAGAGTCACTGTTGAGATGACTGGCTTTACAAATTGGATGGATGGATGGATGGATGGATGGATGGATGGATGGATGGATGGAGCTTGGCTGCAATTTTCTTATATTGGGAGCACAGTCCTTCATTAAACTTTCTCCAGAACTAGGTTTCATGTCAGATGGTCTTTCCTCATCTGCATAAGTTCCTGCAGTGTTACGATTTCTCATTCATCTTCTTTTTTCAACGGACTTATATTATTCCATTTTTCCATTAGAAAAACAAACATTCTTAAAAAGCAGCAGACTTACCTTCTAAGGCAAATAAGCAACCAAGAGCAGTCTTAATTGTTATGTTTGTAACAGGGCATTCCTAATCCCTTCTTAATGTGGATGCGTCATGCTGTCTAAGTAAATACATCAGTGCTCAAGTCAGGTATCAGCTTCTAAGCATCTGCATTAATAAACTGGTTCTTTCTTGCCCGCATCGTGTTCTTCCCTTCCCTAGTCTCTACCAGTAACAGCAAAACTGCTATGTTTCTGGAAATGCTTTTTAGAAACAACAAATGAACTAGTGGAATTGTAAAAATCATGTTTATGAAAGAGTATATTCCATTAGATATAGTTTTAATAAATACAATTATTTAGCAAGTGTTTTAATATATGCAATTTAATTGCTCCTACATGTTTTTTTTCTGCCAGGGGGAGCAGCTAAACAAAACAAAGTTAGAAACCTCATTCATGCATTGGAGTTGTGTCACAATAAATCAGGGAACATGGATTGCTTATAATGCTAAATAAACCACAGACTTTCCTGATTATTTAGTCACTGTCATGGACAGAAGAACTGGCACCACTGATCATTGTTTACTACCTCATTAAATGCACTTGAGAGATTATCATTATGTGCAAACTGGCCAGCCAAGTACTTGAGAGATTAAAGCCAACAACTTAAATGGTATCTAAAGGATAAAGAGCAATTCAGAGCAATGTCTGCAGCCTTGCTGTAATATATTTCCACAACTTCCCAGGCATTTAATAGATTTCTTATGATATATTTAGAATCAAGGCTACAAATATCTTAAAAGCTTTTCAGTGCAAAAGCGTAGAAACACATCCTTGAAATAAAAGTTTAATGTGCTAAAAAGACTTTTTAGAAATAAGAAGAATGTTTGTTACCTATAAAAAGGAGAAATACTGGGAAGCTTTCATAACATTTTTTCTAGGAAGTTATTAATTTATTGAGATAAGACTATTCCAACTAACACTTTCTACATGAATATAATTGCATCCAAATATCATAAATAATTTTAAAGAATTGCTGGTTCTATAACAGTAGAATAATAGAGTAGACTTTATGAATGTTTTTAATCTTACATTTTTATCCTCATTTTAAAGATTTACATTTTATATATAAATTTTTATATTGCCATACTTTTGATGGCAGTTTTCATTGGGGACTGCATGATATAGGGGCCACCACTGTGAAGACTCACCTCTGGCCTTCCACCTCTTTAATCTCACTTTTAGTGGTGAGTTTAAGAAATCCCATTTAGGAGGAACTCGCAGGGTATATTGATTCCAAATACACAGATGCTAAGCCATGAACCAGCACTTTGAGTTTGACCTGGAAGTCTATTGTTAACTAGTCCGGTAGCCCCAGTATAAGTGTAGCACGTTGAACCTACTTTTTATCAAAAGTTAGGCCACTGCATTTTGTTCAGTCCCCATGTAAATCATGCGGCAGTAGGGTAACTTCAAAATAATAGAATTATGAATTGCTGCTGAAATTTTTTATACTTTTACTTCAAGATTTCATCAAACTTTTTTTTATACTTCCTATTAATGTAACTTCACACTCTTACATAGTTCCTTTCTCTTTGTTTCATACAAATTCTACAACCTATTTCCTTTTATTCACTTCATACTGTTTTACATTTACATGTACTTTTTTCTTCCTGTTGTCATTCTTTCACTCTATTTTCTTTCTGAAATTTCCTTTGTCTTCCATATCCATTTCTTCTCCCCAAATCTACTTTTAACAGTATAGGTAGTCCTTATTTAGCGACCACAATAGGGACTGGCCAAGCACTCACTAACTCAATGATTAAGCAAAACAGTCACTAAGTGAAACACTATGCCCACAAAATTATTTTCATTCCTGGTGTACATATTCAAGAACGTGTGTGTTGGGGCAGGGGAGAATTAGAGGAAATTTAGAGGAAAAAAACAGTGCTTCTGAATCCTTACAAATGAATCTCTGTATATACCCACATCCACAAACATACATGATATGTATACACAGACACATACCCCTACATGTACACATAGACATACATATATAGACACACATACCATATCTCTATCTCTCTCCACACAGACACAAACACACATATAGACATACATATATACATATACATATTATAATCTATTCCTTTGCAGACAACCAAGGCAGTGTGACTAATCTGTCAGAGGTACATGTCATTACCATTTGAAGAGCTGCTGTTTGGCATTTCAGGAGGAGAGGAATCTCATTAAGAAATAACGGGGTATAGTTTTTAAGTGAATCACAGATTTCTCCTGCTCAATTCCTATCCATTTTAGCAGAGCTTTCACAGAAGCAGCTCCCAGTGGATGCTCATGTTAGTAGCACTGAATTAATGCTTCTCATCACCAGCAAATACACATAGGGACTATTTTACTTCTGAATTGTCTTAGGTACTGCTGACAACAGCAAGGTCTTTCTTTCTTTGTTTCATTCATTCTTTTCTCACTTTTGCTTAATTTTTACAGCTCACATTTGCACATAGGAATAAACTGATAGCATTCTCATTTACCCAGGTTCTTCATTGCCAAAGCAATTGTTATGCAGCACCATTTCCAGGTCTGATTACCATCAGAGAGTGTGCAAGAAAAAAGGTGGCAGGACATTAGAATTTTAAAACTGAGCCCATTTAGTTTACTCGGAATGTGACAGAAACATAAACGGCAGAAACCAATCTCATCTTCATTCATCAAAAAGAAATCAGCAGAGATGAAGCCAGTGCTGTTTTTGGAGGTCTTCTTCTTCTTCTTTTGTGTTTTATTGTTTTGATGCAGTAGAATTTTCCCTTGAAATTCTGGTTTTCCACAAGTCACTTTTCCTCTGTTGAAGGCAGTAGCAGGAAAATATACAAAAAGAGAAGCTCTTTTCACCATCATTTACTAACTTGTTCAACTGCACGTATAGTACACTAGAATCGTTAAGAACCCGTACTAATTAGCATTCCATTAAAAGGATGAAATCCTGCTAAAACCCCAGGTCTGATCCTGACAGTGCTAGTGAAACATCGCTCACTAATGCAGTCTTAATTCTTTTTATTTGGCAGAGACAGCAAGCTGACCATGTTGCTCCGAGAGTCCCTTGGGAACATGAACTGCCGTACCACCATGATAGCTCACATTTCAGCAGCTGCAGGAAACTATGCTGAAACCCTTTCTACTATCCAGATTGCATCCAGGGTTTTAAGAATGAAGAAAAAGAAAACTAAGGTAAGGGCAGTCTTTGGTTGTCATTCATTGGAAAAAGCAAAGCAGCCCAAGGTCGTAAATAAATGGAAGGCCACCTCCACGGAAATCAATAGTCATGGTTTTGAGTGCGTGGCAGTATATTTAAGAGTATGTGTGGAAAGGAGGGGGGGGTCATATGTTTTGTACTTAGTGAATTATGCAGTGCTTTTAACAGCCACATACATGGCAGAGAACTTGTGTTCTTTTCTTAGAATATTATTAGTACAGAGAGCTGCTTGAAATTCAGCTTTCTTTATCATAATTCATATTAATAGCCTGTGGATTATAAACCAATTTTTTGAGATCAGTGAACAGATTCCACAATTATTGCTCCCTAACAGTTTGTTCACGGAAAGAAACCTCTGCAAAACAATAGGTTGTTGAGTGTGACATCAGTGTTCATTTCCCTGTAATTTTCTCCATCACTTTTTCCAAGTACAAGCGTGTCAGGGCATTTTAAGCCAATGTTATCAGTTAGCGTGTGAAATTAAGCTCAATTTCTGGTCTGAACTCTGTATAATTTTCTGAAGAAATAAAACATTTGCAAGATGAAGGTATTTACTGAGAAGTTGTGGCTGTAGTGTTTATTGAGCTCAATATTACTTCTCAATGCTACCTTTTAAAAAGTTGTTTTAACAAATTAGAGCGGCGCTGAAGTAACACAAAGACAAACAAGAAAGAGATCACAGCATGAATTTTCAGTGCTGTTTTCAATGGGGGCTCTGGGCTTGGTATTTTTAAAATATTTAAACAGATGTATTAACATTTGTTGTCTGTCACCCAGAGTCACTTCCTTGAGATGGGCAGCTATTTGACTGATAAATAAATGAATAAATAAAATACTTTTTACATTGTTGTTCCCCATTGAAAATTGGGAAACACATACTTTTTGTTTATATGCAGTTGTTTACAGTTTCACAATAAGAAAGGAATTTACATGGCAGGTGAAGAACTTTGGATATTATTTCAGTTAATATTTTCTAGCATCTTTAGTGAAAATAACAACTTACAAATATTTCCTGAGCCAGCAAACAGGCTTTCTATTCTTTATTTTAGATTTTTTGTTTGTTTGTTTCCTCCTCATAGAATTCTTTTAGCTCAGAGGCACTCTTAGTTATCTCTGCACACACTCTGGGTTTGATGTCTTTTTACAAATTTTTAATCTTGTTCAACTCTGGGGACTTTGAAGGCCATTCCAAAATGGTTATCTTTCTTTCCTGCAATGGCTGATTTTCAAGAGTGGAGTCAGATCATTGTCCTGTTGAAACATCCAGCTTATTTTCAGATTCAATTTCTTCAGTGACTGAGGGACATCTAGAGTGTGTTGATATTTAATTGAATCCATTCTTCCTTTCACCCGCAATATTTACTGTATCATTGGCTTCCACACAACCATAAACCATAACAGAGCCATCCCCATATAATTAGTAATGTGTTATTTCCTTCAAATGCTCTGCTCTTTCTTCAAATGGGTCTTCTGTTATCATACCCAAATACTTCAGTTTTTGTTTTATTGATCCGACCATTTTGTTTCAAAACTTTTCAGGTTTATCAAGGTTTCCTTTTAAATTCTTTAGCCCAGAATTGAATGTGGTGGGTGGCAGCTACGTCAAGTAAACAAATAAATGATTACTTTCATAATTATGGTTAAAGATTTCCTTCTGGAAACTCTCCCATGCAACTTATTGCTGTTTAAGAAATGCTATATTGTGAATCTGTGTATAAATGCAGACCCAGTATTTCAAACTTTTCAAAAGGTCATTTCCATTGCAGACTGTTTTTCAGATCTGACCAGTTTGGGGACAGTTCTAGCAGAGATCTTTCTTGTCTTTCAGATCTTGCCTTAATTTCAAAAGTTCCAACAGTTCCTATTAGTGTTTCTGTTAGAAATGCTAGCTGGAAGCACTTAAGAGTTTTTTTGTAAGAGTGAATTAACTTCATTTTCAAATGTCCTGGTAGTTCTTGGGGATTCTGTGGTTGTTGAAAGTGAACAAAACAAAATCCATAACTTAAGGGAAGAAAGGTCATTTTTTTTTCTCCTGTGGAAGCATCTTCACCTGGCTAATTATAGGCCTAACAAATCAATCAGTATTTTGAGATCCAGTGAAAACTCTCTATTGGAGAAGCAGATAGTATGGGAGATTCAAAAGCATCAGAGAACAGCAAGATCAGCTGCTATCATCTTCCAGCATTATCAAAACTTAAGCAACAGTATCAAAAATATGACTCATTAAGCCATCTAGTAAGTGTAATTTGGGTTATTTTTTTTAATTAGGCGGCACAATATTTAACTCTGTAATATCATTGTATTGAGGGATAGTGAGTGGCTGAAAAGATAACTTTAGATGGATTTCTGAGGATCACATTGCTTCTCTGTGCATCTGAATGTTTGCAAATTTTGTAATGTTTGCAAATTTTATAAGAAATGTGTAGAATTCACTAAATTAAAATGCTTGAAATCAGTTAGTATTCTTTTCACCTCAAAATTATTTTTTTACTCATGATGATGCTATCTGAAATAGCAGTATGGTCACTTTGTGTGTGTGTGTGTGTGTGTGTGTGTGTGTGTGTATACCCCTGCTTAAAATGCACAAGCAATCTGTGCAGTTATGTGTTGTAAAGATTTGACCATTTTCTCCATGACATCAGACAGCATGACTGTTGTGGAGATAGTTCCTAATAACTGTGATAAATTACTGGACTCTTTCCCATTCTAGTACCCTCCCCGTATGTGTTGGGTCCAGAACCGTCAAAATTCCCATTGAGCATTATAACTGAGTATTTTGAGAATTATTATTCCAACACATTTGGAGAGCATCAGATTGGGAAAGGCTTATCCTGAATGAGGCCCCATTACGCAATGGCATCCCAAGTACTAGAAGACATATCACATCTTACTTGAGTGCATTGGTTCTGGAAAGCATTTTCTGGACTTCTAACTCTTTATCCCTCTTCTGATTTCTAGTATACATCAAGCTCTTCTGGAGGAGAAAGCTCTTGTGAAGAAGGGAGAATGAGGAGACCAACCCAACTTAGACCTTTCCATTCACGGAATGTTGTTGATCCAGACTTCCCAATTCTTCATTTGTCAAGTGATCCAGATTATTCTTCCAGCAGTGAACAGTCATGTGACACTGTCATTTATGTCGGTCCTAATGGAACAGCTCTTTCTGACAAGGAGCTGACTGATAATGAAGGCCCTCCTGATTTTGTCCCTATAGTTCCTGCTCTTCAGAAAGCTAAAAATGAAGGCAAGTTGGAAGACATGAATGAGACAGCCCCTGAAAGAGATTGCTTGAAGTGCAATACATTTGCAGAACTCCAAGAGAGATTAGACTGCATTGATGGCAGTGAAGAGACAGACGGATTTCTTTTTGAAGAACTGCCAGTTCAGTTTAACTCAGACCCAGTGACTAAATGTTCTTTATCAGGCCAAGAGACAGAGCACTGTAGTGCATCAGATCCAAGCAGGGAAGATGACTTGGTGGTCTGCCAGGAACCTGATAAAGATGCCAAGGAAAACTTAAATGCTACCGCCAGCCAAATTCAGGGAGGTCACTCCCCTGTTCACAGTAGGATGCTTAATGAGATTTCCACTCCTCAGGCCCATTGGAATGTTACAGGTAGTCCTAGTAGTCAGATTAACAGTTCTCAGCAACCTCACTGCACAGACCTGCAAAGCAGCCGAGAAAGCCTTAATAGCAGTGGCTTCCTGGAAAATAAGCCACGGCCAATGGGATCACCGCGCCTTGGTATTGCAAGCCTTTCAAAGGCCTCCGATTACAAACCACCAGCTTCTCCTTCTCAGAGGTGCAAAGTTTATACTCAGAAAGGGGTATTGCCAAACCCAGCCCCTCCACCATCATCATTAAGCAAAGATTCGGGTATGGTATCCAGTGAATCTCTAATGCAATCTGAGATCCGCACCCCTCCCATTGGCATGAGTCCTCAAATCTTGAAAAAGTCACTTTCTTCTGGCAACATCGATTACACAGAGGTGGTTGAAAAAGCAGAGCAGCAACAAGAATCCCTATCTCCAGAGTCAAAGCAGGAGATTTTGAGCACAACTATGGTCACCGTGCAGCAGCCCTTAGAACTTAATGGGGAGGATGAGCTGGTATTTACCCTAGTGGAAGAGCTGACCATTAGTGGAGTTTTGGAAAATGGGCGGCCAACAAGTATCATCAGTTTTAACAGTGATTGTTCTGTACAAGCGTTGGCTTCTGGGTCTAGACCGGTTAGCATTATCAGCAGTATTAGTGAAGATCTTGAGTGCTACTCTAGCACAGCTCCTATTTCTGAACTAAGCATTACCCAGTTCCTACCCCTTCCAAAAATGGGGCTGGTGGACAAAGCTGAAGAAGCTGAAAGTAGACGTTCCTCTATTAGCTCATGGCTGAGTGAAATGAGCACTGGAAGTGATGGTGAACAGTCATGCCACAGTTTCATAGCACAGGCAAGCTATGGTCATGGAGAAGCAATGGCAGAAGCTCCTCCTTCTGAACTTGCAAAAGCAGTTTGCATAAATGACAAGCAAAACCGTTGTACTGAGGATATGTTTGTGTCACCTGAAGGGGTTGACAGAAATACTAATAAATTATCTCCCATCAGAAGCTGTAAAATATCAGCCCTGGAAAAGACTACCGTCACAATATCAAACACTACAAGTGTAAGCAGTTGCGAAGGGTTCCTTCCAATGAAGACTAACATTACAGTATTCCCACGTATTTCTGTCAATTCTTTTAAGGCCCAAGAAGGTCATGAAGCCATAGCATCAGTATCATCATCAGCCAGAACTCCCTATCTTCACGAAGGAAAAGAATCCAATGCAAGAAAAGACCTAAAATTTGATGATCCTTGGCTAAAGAGGGAAGATTGTGCAAAAAATGAACATGGTCTCAAGGCTGAAACAGTACCTGACCAAAATAAGAAACAAAATTCTGCCGACAGGTTCAGTAGCAGCAGTGGAGAGATTTCAAGTTCACCAGGAACTGAAAACCCAAGAAGGGTGATAGATGAATGTGAAACGGGACTGCCAGGCTCTGCAACCCACAGCCCCCTTCATTCTACTGAAAGTTTGAAAAATGGCAGCCTTAGCAGAGGATTCCGGAAGAACAACAAGTTGGAGGAACTGGATGTCATTTCCTATCATTACGTAGAGGAGAGTGGTGGCATGAGCTCTTCTGTGTCATCCCAAACATCGAAAGCTAGCTTGGAAAGAAAGATAGCTTCTCCCAAGCATGGTGTTCTAACCCGCCCCAAAGGAACACCACCATTACCTCCTGTGAGGAAATCTAGCCTTGAACAGAAGAATAGAGCCAGTCCCCAGCACAATGCTTGTAGCAGTAGCACCAGCAGCTCTTCCAACCAACCACCCTCTTTTTTGGCTAGCTTTCCTGACGAACCAAGTGGGAAACAAAAAGGTTCCAGTATGGAGAGTGGAAGCAATAGCAGCAGTAAATTATTTAGTGCAAAACTAGAACAGTTGGCTAGCAGAACCAATTCTCTTGGAAGGTCTAATGGGAGTCATTACGAGTGCCTGTCTTTGGAAAGGGCAGAAAGTCTATCTTCTGTCAGCTCCAAGATGAACATTGGAAAAGACACCACCATGCCCAGAGCCAGCAGAAGCCTCAACCGCAATGCAATATCCTCTCCAACAAACTCCGGCTTTTCCCAGTCTGCAGGAGCTTCACCAAAAGCCAGTCAATCAAAGATCTCTGCTGTGAGCAAACTCCTTTTGGCAAGTCCAAAGGCTCGAAGCCTGGCTGCTTCCACCACCAAAACCCTTAGCTTTTCAACCAAGTCCCTTCCTCAGTCTGTGGGACAGAGTTCAAGTTTGCCTCCAAATGGAAAGAACATGTCCTGGTCAACTCAGTCTCTTAGCCGGAACCGAGGCTCTGGTCTTTCTTCCAAATTACCGCTCAGAGCTGTTAATGGGAGGATTTCAGAACTGCTGCAAGGAAATGCTGGCACCCGAGGAATGCAGCTGTGCAGGAACTCAGACACAGATGAACGCAGCAGCATTCATGGAGACAAGAAGCCCTCTGTTCATCTGCTTCCTTCACCATACAGCAAGATCACACCTCCTAGGAAGCCTCATCGCTGCAGCAGTGGTCACGGAAGTGACAACAGCAGTGTCCTGAGTGGGGAGCTTCCTCCAGCCATGGGGAAAACAGCTCTGTTCTACCATAGTGGAGGAAGCAGTGGATATGAAAGCATGATCAGAGACAGTGAAGCCACAGGAAGCACTTCTTCTGCACAAGACTCTATGAGTGAGAACAGCAGCTCCATCAGCGGCAGGTGCCGAAGTCTTAAAACCCCCAAAAAACGTTCAAATACAGGTATGTCCTCGATGGGTGTCTCAAAAAAAAGTTGAGCTTACAAGTAAGTTAGACTGGCACCACATGGCAAGGTAAGCATTCAACAATGACAGAAAATAGTAATGAATTATGCTTAATGGTGGCAGTGCACAAAGTCAAAATATGAGTATATAGATCCTATATTATAAATACAGAACTCTGATGCTGCATTCTGACACAATGTCTTTTCCAGAAATTAATCCATTAATTAATCAAGACAATCTATATGGCCGCTTGTCTCACAGAAGTGACTCTGGGTAGCATACGAAGGTTTAAAAACCCCAGTAATGAAAAAGAATAGCCCATGATGCCCTGAGGTAAATAATACATTCCAGTCCGAAAATCCCATCCATAACAGTGCTTGCCTAGCTGGCCTTAATGCTTAGGAAACAGGCAAGTCTTCAGAACTTAAAAAATGCTAATAGGCCACCCAGATTTTGAACCACCCAGATCAGGACCACCCACATCTTTGGGTGGATGCAGTTCAACAAGGCAAGGGTCTCTTCTGAGGGGGAAAAAGGAATTTCCTACTTGGAAGACTCTGTGTGATACATTGAGGAAGACCAAAACATTGTCTACTAAAACAACTGTTGCCAACCTTGTGCCTTTCAGGTATGCTGAGACAACAGCTCTGATCATTTCTGATCATAGGGCTGACTAGGAATTACTATGGGGCTGTTGTCATAACATATCCCAAGAGCACAAGTTCAAGAATCTTTCAAAAATATGGTTGACATTCAGTAAATGAAATTCACATTAAATGTCTTTCATAGTAACCAAAGGAAATAGGGTGGTTTTATTTGAGAGATGGGGTTAGGGTTAGAGCTAGGGTTTATATATGACTGAGATGTCAAACATGTTAATAAACCGTCAAGCTTTCAAGAAATAAGAACCACTTGGATTTCTGGAAAGATCTTTATTGCTAGTAGAGAAATGCAACTGTATGTTAAATGCCTATCAAAAAGCCTATCCTAGTGTGGTTAAGGGAAGTTACTCTAATTTTCTTCTGCTGCTGCTTCCCTGGAGTCAAAAATCTCCTGCACTGGCCTTTGCTTTTTCCCTTAACTGTCTTAATATCTCCTCTATTTTCCAAAGACATTCCATCACATAAACCCCAAATGTTCTTTTTATTCATTGTCTAATTTCTGAGAGCAGCCTAAGTTTTCCCATACATTATTATGCCCATACATTATTATGATGGTGACTCAGAACTGATCTTTCTTTCTTAATAAAAGAAGGGCAAAGAAGAAATAAACATTTCCTAGTAAGACAGTCGAGTGAAGAAATGTGCCCAATTCTTTCCTCTCTAGATATCTTTAATTTTCTTCTTGGCAAGGTATTTCAGAAGTGGTTTGCCATTATCTTCTTCCTAGGGCTGACAGAAAGTGACTGGCCCAAGGTCACCCAGCTGGCTTTGTGACCAAAGACATAGTTTCCTAGTTTTTAGCCTAATGCCTTAACCCACTACACCAAACTGACTCAGAGACCATTGAATTATTCCCAGAGCAATCAAATCACATCCATCAATGATCCATTGGTCAATTTCTACCAGACGACTTGATTTCTGCTTGAATGAATGGATGAAACTAGGTAAATCTTGATCTACCTGATCCTATTTCTGAGGACAAACTTAGCAATACAGCGATCAACAATGAACCTGATTTAAAAATAAACTGCATATATAGAGACGCCACTCCATATCAGGATGTTGCCCTGGGGAGGGAGAAATTAGTTATTCCATTGTGGTTCAAATTCAAACCAAATGGAGGGACGGGCCTTTTCCCACATTTGGCATGTAAAATATAATTCTGCACATAATTGACCAAGCACATGGGCAAAAGTGTGGGCTTTTTAAATGGAGAATTAGCATTGTGCAATACGTTAAAAAACCCATTTCTGCTATTAGCTTCCTGCAGGCAAATAGTCCTAAGCACAAAACAAGACTCCCTGTAGATTAACATGCAGAGGCTTCTGTCAAAGAAGAAACTTCGTGCTTGCTCCTGTATTCTGCCAGCAGCGTAAATTCACATCAAATCAAACCTTTATTTCATTCATAGTTCAGCATACTGGTTGAAATCCAGAAATTCTTAAATACGTACAGTATAGACTCTTCAATCAATTCCCTTTCAAAAAGAGCAGTGTCATTTAGAGCAGGGGTCCCCAACCCCCAGTCTGTGGACCAGTACCGGTCTGTGGCATGCTAGCAACCGTCTGCACAAACAAGCAAAGCTCCATCCGCGAGATGCAGGCAGCACACAAAACCACACACCCTCTAGTCCGCGGACAAACCTCTCTCCACGGAACCAGTCCCTGGTGCCCAAAAGGTTGGGGACCTCTGATTTAGAGTATGGAACGGAGTGAGAAATGTGGCCCTTTCCTCTTCTGTTGGAGGAAAGTCCTTTCCTGTATTAAGTCGTCATTGTACCACCTTCCTCCAGAAAATGGTTTTCAAGCCGCCTTTGATGAGAGGCTCATCAAATGCACATCCTCCATTGGCACCACTTGTAATTGCTTCTTAGTAGGAAGAAGTGAGGTGGGGCTCTGCATCAGCCTGAGTAGTCTCTCATGCTGCAGTTGCATTATCATCTGTAAGAAACTGCCATTCAACAAGGAGAGTTTACTACATTAGCAAACAAAGATGAATGTTAAAATGCAGAGTAATTGTGCCCTTGTGGAGGGAGTTCATTGGGGAGGGCAAGATTAATGTCATCCCTAGGGTAGCTTGCTACTTTCCCGTGATCCTAGAAGATAACAGTCTAGAACAGGGGTGTCAAACTCAATTTCACTGAGGGCCACATCAGCATTGCGGTTGCCCTTGGGGCCAGGTGGGTGTGGCCAGGGTGGGCGTGGCCTACTGGGTGGGTGTGGCCAGCTCTACATCGTTCGCGTCAAGGGTACCTGTGGGCCTGGGCAGGAGTGGGACAGATCTGAGGGACTCTGGCAGAAGGGTGGGACCGGGGCAAGTGCCAAGGCTTGGTCCACTGGAGGAGCCTCACTGTTCCTCTCAGGCCATGTGGGGGGGCTGGATGGTGGTGTGGGCTGCCCGGAGCCCTGGGCAGGAGAGGTCAAATGCCCAGCCTGGCCTTTGAGCACCTATGGCATCAAGCCCAGCCCCACTTCCTCAAGGCTGCTGCTCAAGGTTCTTCTGGTTCCTCACTGTTCCAGACAGCTTTGTGGAACTAAGACTGAATGTATTTCAGCATAGATGGCCACCATAAAATTGTACATTGGCTCCCGGCCAGCCAGGGCCAAGGCAGACGGGGGCTGTTCCCTTACTGTTTCCAGGATGGCTTCGCAGGCCACATGAAACCACTTCACGTGCTGCATCTGGCCCCCGGGCTTGTGTTTCACATGTCTGGTCTAGAAGGTAAATGAATATTTTTTTTCCTGAACAAAAAGTTGGGTGGACAGAAAATACAGTGCCATATTTCTACAATAATTCTACTCGTAAAACAAAAAAGGCTGGTCATCATATGTTGATGTCACAATCCCCTGTTCTCCTTGTTCTCAATTCTCAACCAAAAAGAAGGCATTCGGTGTCAGCTATTCTGACATTGGATGTATTTCTGTTGCTTGACATAGATCAATTACATTTTTGTTCTTATGGAGTAAGATCCTGGCAATAACGTTTAGAAGAGCATAATAAGCATCTGTCAAGGACAGTTTAGGTCTAGCAAATCTAGGCATAATGCAGGAATTTGGATGGCTTGACCTTTGAGGTCCCTTGCAGCAGACTCCCTGGGAATTACTTGCCCTGTTACCCTGATAGAGTTTGCATCTATTGATCTTCAGCATAATGTGTAAAGTTCATCTCTATTGCATTGTGCAAAGAAAATGATGTGCAATGGGCAAGCAAGATTAAACCTGAACCTTAGAATGTAGCTGTTTGGTCCAGTCTTTTGAATTCTCTGTACTGGTTTCCAATTTACAGATAACAAGTTGTATTTAATTGTTAATGCATTAAATATTTTTTTAAAAAAAAATCAGGGTAAAGGCTCTTCCCTCCTCCCTGAAACTGGTTTGTGAAGTGATAAAATCTATCTCTTCCCAGCCTATTTTCTTTGTATTTTTCCCCCTACAGTAAATAGCATAGATGGTGAAAGCACATTCTTTTTTGTGTCAACAGATTTATGAGATCATAAAAACAAAAAATGACTGCAGAATTGACTAAGATTAAGCTGAGCTGCAAAGGAAAGGAGCCTGTTTACACTGAATTTGGATGAGAAGTGTAGTACAGTACTTCAGTTTTTTCCCTCTTCAAGAGTGATCTCCTTCCCTTGATTTGTATCAATTCATAAAAAGATTGGCAAAATGAGTTTTTTTTAAATCAGGAAGCACTGGAACATACCTGATTTGCTGTCATGGATACTCATTGCCATAATGAATATGGTGTGGTACATACGTTCATTTCAGGTCAGGTGACCTTGTCTGGTTTATGAATATTATTAACAGAAATGCTAGCTGTCAGGCGTGATCAATATGAATCGGCATCAGTTCCCACTAAATGGCCACAAAGACTTTTAAGCAAATCACTAACATTGTTAAATTTCACCATTACTTTTTGAAGCTCCATCAGTTCGTGAAAACAATTATTCTTGTTTCACTGCCTCCTCCTCAAACTTTTTTTCTTCTTTTGGTTAGTGCATTATTCAATATCTGAGATCCTTTGAGATGGAAAAGTGATCTAGGGGCTAAAGGATGATTACCTACCGTATTTTCCGGCATATAAGGTGACCCAGTGTATGAGACGACCCCCGACTTCGGCGCTGATTTCCATGCCTAGAAAGTTGTCTTATCCGCCGGAAACTACCGTAATTTCTGGCATATAAGATGACCCCTGATTTCGGCGCCAATTTCTGCGCTTTAGAAAGTCGTCTTATATGCCAGAAAATACGGTATTTGGGAGATCTTTATAATATTGAGAGGAGCTATATACTCACTCTGACTTTGGAAAATCAAAATATCTAAATGAATTGTGAGCA